GACCAACCCCCCTGCAGGGAGCAGGGACACTGCTGACTAGATCAGGTTGCTCAGAGCCCCGTCCAACCTGGCCTTGAATGTTTCTTGTTCTCTGTCCTTCCGCAGCTTTCTCCAGTCCCCTTCAGAGATGCCTGGTCTGAGCTGTTTTCAGTGTTGTCAACGTGCTATTTGCTGCCTTTTCTCCATCACTTATCAATATGCCGAAAAATCCAGCCCTGGCACAGACACCTGTAGCACCCAGGAGGTAAACTCTCTGCTTGGTGAGAAGTCACTGATTAGTCTGATCTGTGAGAGCTGCCAATCTGTTACAATCTGTGTCTGACAGATCTTTCTAAAAGCTTTTTTGGATTACGTTGTGTTGACTGGATCGCTGTTGTCCATGCACACCGCCTCTCCTTCCAACCACTGCAACAGATTTCTGAGCCACAACTTTCCCTAAAAGCCTATATTGACTCTTCCTCAAGTTATTGTATTTATCCATGAGTTCCCAGGAATTCCGTGTTTATTACAATTTCTGCCACTTCGCTGGGTACAGAAATGAGACCTCTAACCCCAGGGATCCTTCGCTGAGTGACTGAGCCTTCCAAACCTGGACACTGCCCGTACCACCTCTGTTCCCTTGGTAGGCAAGTCAGAGGTCACAGCCCACTGTCTGCAGATCAGGAATGTCCCGATGGAGTCTGGCGAGGGCTCCAGGGCAATGCTCTCTGGTCCCAGAGGTCTGGAGCTGTTCATCTGATGGATGAGATCTGCGACTCCTTCATGCCGGCTTCTCAGTTTTAATTCCTGCCACCAACCCCGCAAAGGCTCGGAGGTGGAAACCCCCTGCACCGTTGCCGCTGCGGCGCAGCAGACTCAGCATGGGCAGGGTCCCCACCACCAGCACCGTGGTCAACTCACACAGGACTCCTCTCTCTGCCCCCTGAGCCCTCAGCATCCCTGGCGCATCTTCCATGGCCTGCAGGCTCTCTGACAGGATTCCCACCTCTGATGCACAAGGTTTTCATAGTAGCTTTTGTCTTTCTCAGGCTGCTCAGTACAATAGTTTTTGGCCCGCTTTTACATTCTGTTTGCTGAATTTCATACCACTTTCTGTTCTTTCTGTTCTTTGAAGGTGATTCCCACCTTCTGAAGGGCATCCTCTCTGCTGTTTTGTGTCCCTTGCCGGCTCCTTTGACGCTCTCAGTACCTGGCCATGGTTCAGTTGATTATATTTATTCCAAACCTTCACCATGGTGTCTGTAAATGCCCTCCCCACATTTTACCCCTTTGCCTGCTCCTTTTAACCTCCTTTTAGCACGCTCTTAGTGGATGTTTCCCACTGTTTCTACCCATACAGCTTCTCTGGCCTCCCTGAACATGACATATTCAGGCCACCAACTTTGCTGCTTGGTTGATAACAAAGCTTCCACATTATATTTCTCCTCTCTATCTCATTCCTGGTAGCAATGCTACAGTTGACCATTTCAGTCCCAGTCCTTTCTTTTAGGATTCTGAATTTTTAGGACTTCAGAGGATCCCCATCTTGAGCAACTAAGCTGGGGGAGCTGCATGTTCCTCTGCATCTGCTGAATACCCTTCAGGTTTGCATCAAGCCCATCCCCTTCCATCCCTGTTGTCACTGCAGGTGCCAGCGTCCCGGCTCTGTCTGGGTCAAATGGAGATTTCCGTGCAGATCCCATCTCTCTCAGGTTCTTCAGCTACTGATAAATCCGACCCCTCTGCCCCAACGCCATTCTCCTCCCAGCCATGGAGCCTGTTGGCCCCTGTGCAGGGTGTTGGGATCATTTTAGAGAGTTTCTCAGACTGCTAAGCTCCCATGTGACAGAGCACATTTTGGGAGACTTGTGGAGCATCCATCCTGCGCTGCACTCAGGACCACGACTCTCTTGCCACGCTCTCTCCGAGGCTGTGTTGCATTCATATGGCTGTGCCTGGCACTGCACATTTTAGGATCCAAGCAGCCCATTACAAAATCCCTCAGCCCTGCAGCCTGGTTCATGTGTGGAACCCCTGCTCTGGTCCGTGCTCTGCTGGTGAAGGTTCCCCTGTGGGATCCACCACCCCCTTCCCCAGGCTTTGCCCATGGGATTCTGCCCCCACAGCACAAGAGCTGCCGCACCAGGGTCAAGGGAGCTGTGATGTCCCTAAAAGCCTCGCTGATGTATTTCTCGGCTTCCCTCAGACATACATTGCCCCGGAGGACCAAAGTCCACACGCAGCCAGTCAACAGATGGCAAATGATCCTGGGCAAAAAACCTGGAAAGTCCCATTTGCACGGCACAGCCCTGCGCAGAGGAGCACTCCAGGGTGCCTGCCTGTCTCCAATAGCTCTGTTTCTCTCGTGGCTTGCCTAATTCTTAGTTTCCCAGGACACTCACATGCCCGTTATTGCTTTAAAATGTCTGCAGACAGCGCGTTTAAGACTACTTCTCTCTTCAACATCTTGACGGGCAGCTTGGGACAGGCTGACATGGCTGTAATGAAACTCAGAGGGGGAAAGCAGAGCTACGGAGCAGTGCAAATCGGGCTGAAAAATGAAGAAATGGTTCCTACATGAGGCTGGCGCCATCAGTGCAAAAGCTATCCCAAACAATTCGTTGTGCATATTCCTCTTCCAGCTCAGAAAAACACCCCGGAGGGCTGCTTGCTCCTCCGGGGCACTGGCAGGGCCCCCCTGCATGGTGCAGGGAGTGCTCTGCTCTACCTGCAAGCTGAATTAAAGCTCAGATGTCTGCAGCCATCCGTGCTAGCTTTAGGCCACCCTTCATCCCACATCTTCATCAGAGGCACCTAAAAGCTGCGCCTGGGTCTTTCCCAGCATGTGTGCTTGTGCCAGGCTGTGGAGCTGGGGAAGAAGTTGCCAGAAACTAGGGGGAAAATAAGTGATTTAGGCCTGAAATGCTGCCCACTTTGTCCCCCTGCAGCTCTGGTCGGTGAGGAGATGCTTGCAGCACAGGTCTGGCCGGCACAGCCTGTGCTGAGCCCTGAGCTCTCAGTATTTATCAAATGGCACAGAGCAGGGGAGGGGGCTGGCGCAGCGAGCCCTGCCCACCTGCGTCTCTCGGGACACCACAGAGGCGAAGGTGACCCATCTGCAGGACTGCGTGGCTACCAGGTGTGCAAGTCCCACTGCACCCGAGCTCATTGCTCTCCTCTCTTTCATTCGGCGCTAGCATCCCCTGTCCTGTTGGGCCGCACCTCCATGCAGGCTTTGCCGCTGCTGTTGCTCAGCTTGGCACATGGCTCAGTGACTTGGCGCGCTTTGTGCTGAGCTGGGTGCCCGTTGCTATAATCTTACCTGTTTGTGTCCCTTAATCTGTATTTGTTCCCTTGGAAGTGCAGGGAGATGCATTAGGTCAGAGGCACTAGGTAAATACCGCCTGCTGCCCTCCCCGCCAGCGCACTGGGAGCAGCCATTAACCCCAGGTAAACAGAGCGGCTGGCCGTGA